AGGAGGCCCCTCTCGTCAGTGTCACATCTATGTTCGATGCACCCATCCCCGACCTCTCGTACGTATCGAGACAGCCGGGTCTGTTGTGCACCGTCAAGTGCTTAACCGCGATCAGGGTTTCGACTCGAGCACCTCTGGCGTTACCGCTTTTGGTGCCCGGCTGACTGAACCACAAGCGAGAGTGTGCGTTCACGTCAGCACCTATCACCACATCAGAAGTTGTCCTGTCCAAAATTGTCCCTAACCTATCCACAAAGAACTGTGTCGGAATGCAATACTTGAAGTATGCTGACACGAAAACGACCGCCCGGCCGAGCCTTTTCCGGAGGCTGGCCACGGCGAAGAACCTATCACCGAGCCCCTGCAAGTCGACCATCTCGATATCTTGACTTAAGACAACTATGGCCGCCCCTGCACTACCATCCCTACAACTGAGAACCACTTTCGCGGCGCTGTAGTCGAAACCTATCAATCTCCCCCCCGAGGTAGGTACATCCTGAAGCAGAAGTACCTCGACCCCGTTTTTCCTACTGTAGTCCAGCAACTGGTCGGACACGATCTCCTGTCCGCACAAGTTCAACTGGGCCACCGAAAAATATTCCGAACTCATTTAGTCCTACCGAAGTCCGTCCTACGGGCCGCGTTTAGCGTCGCCCTGAGCTTGGCTGCGCACTCTGCGTGGGCCGATGGGGCCGCCTTCCGGCAGTTGGCACACCTTGAGGCATTGCTATTGCAGTCCTTGGCTTGGTGACCAACTTCTGCGCATTTGCCGCAGGTGTCCGAACTCGCCGGGCACTTAGTCGCGCGGTGACCAAAGCGTTGGCACTTGAAGCACCTAACAACGTCGGAAAACTCAACGACTCGACAACACGACATACCTACATATACACGCTTACCTACAACCTTTTGGTACGCGTCTGGCGCAACCGCGCAGACCCACCAGACAGAGTCACCCGTCTTGGGCCCCTTCATGAAGAGGGGGACCACGGTCTCCTCGCCGATGCCTAGATCCGGGTTTTGTTCCGACAAAAGTTTCCCTAACCTATCCTTCTCGATATCTCTACCGACGTCGTACATCAGGATCATCGGCCGTCTGGCCGATTCCTCCCGCACTGCCTTTCCCTCGTCCTCCATCCTCTTGAGCGCTCTAAAGGTCCCCTCGTCCGCCGGTTTCACCAGGATGTCTCCGCGTGGAAGGGTCACCGTATTCACAATCTTCGGGGCAGGGAGACCCTTCAACAGATCAGTAGAT